ATGCTTCTTGATTTAAGAATTTTTATATATTTGGACTGGAAACAACACAAAAATACTACTAAAAATTTTTTTGGGCAGTGTGTGATTTAACATTAGCATGAAAACACACCGAGAGATCAGGGAGCTAATTTATTTGATTATTTTCGTTTGCATCCAGTGATCTACAGTCTGACAGGATCGTTTGTGTTGATTAGTGGCTTGATTTGCATGGATTCGGTTCCGGACGCTCGCATTAGCCAGATGAGCTGCGTGTGTGAGTTACAGATGGACAGAGAGATTTATCTTTATATGCAAAATCTGAATGAATAAGACCGTGATGATCTGAATTCTCATGCGAATGCCAGTGAGTGACTGACTGAGATTGTGTTGACGGCGAGAAGTGGGCGTGTCCTGTTACAATAAAATACTGCCCAATATTGGCCACACCCACACAGGAAACACCCAATCGTGGTTAAGATTGAGTGGCCACGCCCATTTTGACAGTTAACACTGATTGAAATTGAAAACATGTGCGCAGTTTACATTAGATGATGGAGAAAAACAGCATGATGAACTGGATATTCACTGATAAAAATGTAGCACTGGACTTGATTTCACTGATCAGGAATTGATTGGATGGTGGAAAATGGATTTTGTTTTGTTTTCATCAATTTACAGGTGATAAAGTTACATATGCTAGACACTAAGAAGCTCTTCTCCGCTCGTCAAATACATAACACATTAGCTTTTAATAGTGTTTCTTGAGTAAAGAAATAGCTGTACTTATTCAAACAAAGTTCTTTATTTACCTTTGCATTGCAAACAAGCAGAGACGCTCCAAAATGTGTGCAGCACTTCATTTAAGATTGAGGAGGGGAGGAGTTGTGAGGTTTGACGGACAGTTTGAAGAGCCAATGGGGTTTCAAGGTTTTGTCACAAGCTCTTTTTAACACTTTTCATTGGTTAAATACTTGAAAAACTCACACAGACGAAATGGGAGAACAATAGTAGCTTATGGAAGAGTATGAGTATGAAGAAGGAAAAAAAGTACAGTGTTTGAGGAAACCTGTTTGAAGACAATAATTTTTGCTCTTCTGTTTGGTGCCACTAATGGTGCTAGTTTGTATCAGGGTCACTGTTTCTAATCAGAAAGCCAGTGAGAGGAAGGTTGTGGTGTTGATGGATCCCTGTTGAGACTTGCAGCTTCTGAAACACTGATGAGTTTGAAACATATACTTCCAGAACAAAGTAGATGAACATTTCCCCAGCTTAAAAAAAGCTAAAAATGCCATTCAAATATAATAAATTTGATAATTGCATAAATCAAACTTTTAAAATGTAAAATTAATTCATACTTGTTAACTTTTTGATTCCTTTTTATTTGATTAATTTTATATCGTTGAAATATTATACTATTACATTTGCCAGAATGTATATGTATTCTTAATTTTAAAAAAATTCATACTTCGCATCGTTTCAACGCAGCTTTACAGAAAATGCATATGATTGCATATGCTTATGATTCAAAAAGTTGTATTTTAAGTGTAAAGCAGTACTTTAACTAACTTTATTGGAAAACTAATAAATGGGTGTGTGATGATATAGTTTCTAAAACAACGCTGTCCGGCGTTTATAATGTTCTGCCATGTTCTGCGATAGAATAAAGTAATTATGTCGTATTCCTCTTCCTGAAACATCCCATAATAACATTACTACAGTAATCTGCTCATTACTCATTCATTCTGACATCATCACATTCAGCCAATCGAATTAAGGCACATAATTACAGATATGGCAGATGAGCGGCAGTGTGTGTGTTTGAGCCGGTGATTGAA